GTGTTCTTTCAATTGATCAGTGTAGGACACTAAGAAAGTCTCTGGATGAACTTTATCTTGTGATTCTGGACTCAAATCAATGAAATACAGTTCTTGTTCCAGGCAGGCTCTCAAGGCCAGATTTTGACCTGAGGCTTAGTTCACTACATATACAAATCACATATTATACACAGTCTACAAATAAAGGAGACAACAGTTTTTCAAAGGAGAGCTTTTTAAATCACGTTTGTTTAATCTTTGTATTTTGAAAGGTTTACAGAAATTCATAAAGAAAACAATTTAAAAATGTTGTTCACAATAAAGACAATGATCGTGCACAACTTTATCTAAAATACAATAAATCACAAGTGATGATACCACAGTTGCATTCAGATTCACATTCCATTCTGCAGGTATAGTTAAGCCACAATTTATTTGTAGCCATTCCCATCTTTTATTTATCAATGTATTTTATTACTTTTAATACAGTTCTAGCTGGAAGTTAAACAAAATGCCTTGTGTTAGAGGTGGTTATGATACATGTGAAAGTCAAAGTAATCTAGTTAACTTTTCTTTGTGATAGGAACAAATGAGAATCATGATGAAGTTGCTTTATTGTAGCAAAAACTAATGAAGTTTTCATAGTTTCAAGGCGGCTGTGGCTGAGTGGTTAGAGCAGTCATCCTCCAATGCAACAGTTGGGGGTTCAACTCCACCAGCCGTCACATGCCGAAGTGTCCCTGGGCAAGACACTGAACCTCTCATTGCCTCCGATGTGTGTCCCATTGGTGTATGAATGTGATAAAGCACTGATTATTCTTGTATAGATTTAGTAGAGGGCTGTATGAATGGGTGAATGAGGACACAGATTGTAGTGTAAAGTGATTTGAGTATCTTGATGAGATAGAAAGGCGCTATATAAGTACAGTCATTTACCATTTACCATAGTTGCTGGAGATTGTTGCTGGTTTCCATTTGGAATTTTAAATCAGATCCACTCTACAATGATGTCTTTCAAGTTAAAATGTGTCTGTGGGACACTTAAAATGTTAGATTTAACTTAACTTAACTTCACCACTTGCTCTTGCCGAGATCAGACACTATTCCCCCCCCCCTCCCTCCCTGCTTTGCTTTACTGCTCTGTCTGTCTGTGAAACTGCTTCTGAGCCTCTCTTGCATATCTTCCGAACCATAATTATGGACTTGATTTGATCAGTTGGTCCCTCAACACAACTGATAACATTCCTTTGAAGAGAAGACAGGCTTTAGGCGAGCCAATTTACCCTGTTAGCACGCACGCAGCTGGATATCTCATCAACTTGGAAGACTTGATGATGTGTCTATCTCTGCTGCCATTTGTGAATTTTAAGGACGCATTTTAAATTGGATTTGCGATAACTAGTTTCTGCCTTTTAGATTCGGCTGGTTACTGGTTTTCTCTACAATCAAGGAAGTCGTTGGCAGCAAATTTGGACCCGATCACGCTGCTTGCCTTTATTATGACTTGGCTCATGCGTCGAGTACCCAGACTCAAATGTTTTTGGGCAGAATGGATCAGATCTCTGGGATTTTTTCTGGTATTGTCACGTCCCATCAGTGTGGCCATGTAATTTGGAGATTTCTGAACCGTTAGACCAACACAGACTCAAGGTAGATGTCATTAAGTTCTTCCTGTCCCCAAAACAACTGTGTGTTTATCTGAATTTGGCTTCCTTGGCTGGCCTTGAAGGCCACCTTATCTGAATTCGCCTGAAGAACATGTGCTCTGTGGCTCACCACCCCCTCCCTGAGGAATTTCCAACTGATAACCAGATGAAACCAGCTGTAAACATTGTGTCACCATTTCAGGACTCTTGGATTCTCGTAGGCTTTGTCCTTGGCCATTCCTCGACATCCCTCGAGAAAGTTTACGGATCTCACCGGAGGGAACTGACTGATTATTCCATCCTTATCAGAACTCTTGCAGTGCCTTCAAGAGCATCTATGCACATTGCTCACCGCTCTCGTCGTCCCCCCCCCGCAGAATGTCTACGTCACAATGTGCTTGTTTGTGTGAGGTGTTTTTTAATATTAAGAGTTTTTTTCTCCTCAGCCAAGAAGAAAAAGTCTGATAGGAATTTTTTCGCCTCCAATTCCCACGTGTCCACTTTCATTGCTTTTTGTCTATCTAAACAGATCTCACTTGTAAAGGAGTCTTCTAGGCTCAGTATGACTTATCTGTCTAAATAAAGGTTGAATGAATGAATGAAAAGATTTCCTAATCAATCTGAGTGGATTAACTTAGTATTACTTGAGATTCAAAATATTTTACTCCCATCACCTTACTTAATTGTAAAGATGGTTGTTTTTGAGTGAACTGTCTTCTCTTCTACATCTTATTCAACCACATACAGTAATTGGTGAGCCAAAGCTTTTGGCATTGATAAAGCCAGGCAGGCTTGTGTGCCTTTCTTGGCAAAATGAAAACAAGTTTTTGTGGATTGCCTGTCCTAAAGTGTTGGCCTAAAAAGTTCCAGTTCATCACGCAACAGCCAAAACCTTTAGACAAAGCTTGGGGAAAAAGAACCTGATGGTAGAAAACTTTCCACAACAAATATAATAAGCTGCACTGATCCAGAGTGGTTTAATAAAGAAGACCAGTTAAACGTCTACGTCAAAGTCATTTTATATTTCAGCCAAAGTCTCCATCTGAACACCGTCCAACATCTGTGCAGAGATCTACTGTAAACACAAGAACGGTGGAAAAGTAGCTCTTCAGTATGGAAGACATGGAGGTGATCACAGAAAATAAATGGATTGAAATCCCAATGGAGACATGCAAAAATAAAGTTTTAGATATTTTTAATAACATATTGAATGCCAAGATAATAAAAAACTAAATTATGACCAAATAAAGATTTTCAGACTGACTTTATGGAATATAAAATTTTGAAACCTGGTGTTTTAAATAATACAGCAAAATCTAATATTTATTTTGAATGTATAAAAATGTTAATAGCAACGTGTTTTTTATGCAGTAATTTTACTTTTTAGCTCAATAACCATGAAATTGGTAAAGACATAAATACATTTAGGTTTATTCTGTTTGTACCTTTTTATCTTTATTTTCTTTTATTATATTTATTTATTCCTTCTTAGTCACACAAATGTGTTCATATTATGAGAATTGCATGCACTAAATTCCCCACTGCACCAGTAAATACAGAGAAAGAAACACTTGAGTCCTCGTTTAAGCTGCAGGGTCCAGTGAAAGGGATATAACGAACCAGAGGTGTTTGTCTTGATATGCCTCATTATGTTTACTGTAATTTCTCTCATGTTTACTGTAATTTCTCTCAAACTGAATGCTCTTAGTGACATATTATCCCAAATAATCTGTCATTTAAAAAAATAAAACAATACAATCATTTACATTTGGCTTTGTCTCCATTTTGTATTTTATGGGAAGTAAAAGTAAAATAAATCACAAGCATCTCTAAAGCACATTTTAAGGTGACCAAAGTGCTGCACAAATAAAACCAACAACAACATTGTAATAAAAATACATAGCATTCATCATATGATCAGTTGTTTTGTTAGCTGGCTAAAAGGCTGTTTCTCTAAAAAGAGAGAAAAGCACAAAAAGTATATTCATATTTATAGCAAACTCTTTCTCTAACCAGTAAAAAAAAGGCAAAACTACTGAAAACAACAACTTTAGAACAAATGTCACTTAAACAAAAGCAAAATTTGGTCTTATGGATTATTATAGTTGCAGAATAAAGTGCAGTTGGCCCAACACTCACTTTGTTGTTGATTTTTAATGGAAATTCTTGTCAATTTGAAAAAGAGAAATTATATTGCTTTTTAAAAATATTTCATCTACTGAAGAAAATATAACCATCTTTAATAAAATGTTTATAACCAATGTTTTCTCCACAAAATACCATTGAATAGCTTATATACGATGTACAGGGACAATGTTACCTTGTTCTAAAGGTAATAATTTAGAAGTGAGGAGTATAAATTATGTTTTGTTTTTCTGAAGGAACAGCAAATAACTCATTTCAAGGCTGTAAATGAGATGACAAAAATATATATATTGTGTCCAAAACATTTGCCCTTTTTTTTGTTTCAGTATAATTTTAAGGCATGACAGGAAAACATCCTGCCCTGCGCATCGTTTCTACGCCTCCTCCAGGCAATCTCCACTTTCCATCAGTTCTGCAAAACTCTCTGTTGCCATCTACAGTATTATGAACTTGAACCATTGTTTCAAAAGAGCTGATGTTTTCAAAAATTCCGATGGAATCCTAAAACATGGAATGAAAGCAGAGAGTTCATCTGATTGGGCTTGACTAAAATGAGGTCTCTGGCTATTATATTGGCATTACGGTGAAAGTAATTCCTTTGGTATTCCCAGAAAGGAACAAAAAGTGAATAGCCTCCAGGGATCAGCATCAGATCTGCTGTTGAGTTCATGAAACCACTTGGCCTGATGGAACTTGCTCACAGAGGTTTAATGGTGAGGAATGTTGGCGGTGTTTCACGTCGAAGATCTTCCTTTGACTGCATGTACCTGGGAGGCAAGATGCCGAACAGAGAGTGAAGGAAAGGGCTTCAGAGGAAGGAAAAGTCCATTCACCCAATAAAGCAAAACAGAGAGGGGTTAAACGGTCATCCAAGGCCAGGGACCCTCCAGTGACTCCTGGTCTGCAGACTCTGACGGGGGCTTTAAAGAGAATAATTGACAGAGAGACATTTGACAAAGTCAGCATCATCAAAGGAATAATCTTGTAATCTATATGTTTATGGGAAACATAACACAGTTTAAAGAAATAATTTTAGTTAAACCAGTTTTACAGCCAAATGTTGTGGTCGACAAAGTTCCTTTTTTCATGGATTCTTTCTCTTTACTCCCATTTTTTTTCCTTTCTGGGTCATGTGGGTCACTGGGGCCTGTCTCCAGAGGTGTGGGACACCCTGGACAGGTCTTAAGTCCATCGCAGAGACAAACGAGACAAACAATCAATCACTCTCTCACCTCAGGACAATTTAAAGTCACCAATTAATCTAACAATAAAGGTTTTAATCTGTGGGAGGAAACCGGAGTACCCGGAGAAAACCCACATGTGCACGGGGACAACATGCAAATTCCACCCAAAGGGGTCCCAAGGCTGGGAGACGATTCTGAGACCTTCTTGCAGAGAGGCAACAGCTCTAACCACTGCCCCACTGTGCCGCTGAGTTTATATATATTTTTTTGTCTTCTTTTTGTGCGTCATATGGATAACTAGGCAAGAATCAGAACTCATCTGTTTGTTTGGTAAAAAAGGAAATAAAATAAAACGACTTCTAAACTGGGATCAAGCCTGTTATTTATACCAGTCACTAAAAAATGATAAAACTGTTAAATTTCTCTGATTCAGTTAAGGTGTCAGTCATGTTCTCTGTTCACAGTTAATATAATTTCATCAAACTGTGTTGTAAAGAAGTAAGAGTGAATATTTGTACTTTTTGAGCCCAGTGAGCCTCCTGTTACCATTATGCTTCTCATTTATATTTAAATTATTCAGAAATTATCTGACATTTCTGAACATGGACTAAAACTACAAATCACGTGTGTCAAACTCAAGGCCCAGGGGCCAAATGTGGCCCTTGCTAACTTCCTATCTGGCCCTCAGGATCCATCCATCCATTATTTTCCGCTTGTTTCGAAGTCAGGTCACTGCCCTCAAGAGGATGTTTTTAAAAGTAAAATATTTTTATTGCTGCCCCTTTAATCTAAAGACTGAGCTGACTTCTCATGATGTCAGTCGAAACTTTTCAGCAAACAAAGAAACCGTCCAGAGGACCTGACTGAACATGGTTGGATTTTCTACCTGGATTATTGAACATGAACTTTGATGTGTTGAACCACTTTGGCTATGGCTGCCTCAAAGGAGTCGAAAGGGGAGAGGGCGGACTCCAGAAACCATCTTATAACCATCAAACTGGGTGGTCCACTATGTGAGTGTGCTACTTATGGTACTGAGTTTGTTTGTGGCTCATCGAACTGATGAAGTCCTTTGGATGAAAGATTAAATGTTTCAATGCAAAGAAACTGTCCAGAGGACCTGAATGAACTGTGTTGAATTTTTTACCTGGATTATTGAACATGAACTTTGATGACTTCTCAAGACCACTTTGAAGCCAAGAAAAATTAGTTTGAACTTATTCTTTAATGTAATCTTTCATTTTTCATGTGGGGAAAAAAACGATACAGAACGTCAAATGAAACTCTAGAGGAACCTGAAACCAAGACAGGATCTCTGGTATCTGACTGGAGTTAATGTGTTGGCAGAAACTGGCCCTCGGTTAGAAATATGTTTGTAATTTTGCCCCCCTTTTTTCACAGTTTGACACCCCTGCTTGTTCATTTACAACATTATTATTCAATTTTCAATGTTAAGATATACATTTATTCAAGATATTACAAACAATTCATTTCTGCCCTATGGTTGCATGTAGGAATGTTTGCTGGCACAAAACCTCATAAGATCTTTCATACGATGCATTTTGTTTTTCCTAAAAATAAATTGCACTTTTGCTTATCATTTTAATTACTTTTCAACTTTGCAAAATTACAAGACATTCTATGAGAAGCAAGTTGTTATGGAGACAAATCTGATGCTTATAAAACTGAATTTAAAACCATTTAGTTGCTCCAAATCTTGTCTTAGTATGCATCCATCAGTGTGCAATGAACACGAAACTGATGCAGCAAATCAATTTACAGCTTCATTTCCATCTTAAGCCTTTTTAATTTGTATTTAAGAGAGAGGCTGATTTATTTGAGTCTTTATAATCTGTTTGAATATCTTGACATAAACAGAACACACGTTAATGTTTGAACACAGAGAAGCAGTTTCACCTTGACAGACAAAAAGCCCGACACTCCGGGTCTGGTTTGGTCACAGCACAAACGCAGCGTCGTGTTTTGGTCCGGTCGCCCTCAGACACTCGTCCATCAGCAGCACGTCTCCTTCTCTGAGGTCCTCTGTAGCTGGACATGCCGTACGGCACGGTGCGCCTAAGGTTAACAGGAACCTGGTTTCAGTGAATGTGAAGAATCAAAATGCACACTGATGTGTCATGATTTAAGATAAACATCTTTATAGAGTGATTTTCTGCACAGTTGTTTTAAACCTAATGGACTTAAACTGCTGGGTGTTTCATTAATCAACAAGGATCAATAATCAATCAATCACTTCAACTTTATTGTCCATAACCTTCAATGAAATGGAGATTTGTCCTTGACATCTGGCTTATAAAAACAACACAAGATAAAAATGTGATTAAAAAACTTTTAAAAAAAGCTTTGCTAAATGAATTAAAAACATTCAGTTAAAAGCATTCTAAAATACACAATACATATTTAATGCTTTATAAATGATAAAAATATTTATCTTTTTGGTACCCCTTTACAATAAGGCTCTCCTTATAGATGACTAATAAATAGTTGATATATTATTAATTCCTATATAAATCAATAATAACTGCTTATTATGCATTGATTAAGGGTGACAGAGAGACAATACTGACCAGTATCTTGCCAAATATTGAGCCAAATCTGTTCACCTATATATTTCATCTAGAGTTGTTATAGTAAACATTTCAGACTCGGACCGTGTAAGTACAATAAGCATTTGTAAACCTATTTCTTTAGCATATAATGTTGAATTTTATCAATACATTATCAAAATCAGAATCAGCTTTATTGTCATTGCACCGAAGCACAACACATTTACATTTCAGTACAGCCTGTCCAAGTAAAACACAAACAAACAGACATGGGGAGATAGGGGTGTCTGAGGCTGCGGCCTCGTGGGAGGCGCCGCCCTTTTCGTTTAGATAAGAAAAGAGAAACACGAAGGAAGTGGAGGTGTAAAAAAAAATCATCTCACATTGTGTCCTAGATGGGACACATTGTGAAAGTTGCAACAAAAGTCTCAGCACAGAAATAGCAACATACTGATGACATTATAATATATATGCATGAGGAAGGACGATGAAGGTAATGAGTTTGTTTGTGGACACTGCCAAATAGTCCCCATAATCCTGATAAGAGATGATGCAGTGTCTATCAGTTGGCTCAGCTCTGATACAGGGCCACATATGTTCTCGGGAAGGGAGTGGGTAGGGAAGGGGGGAGCAGAGCTTCTTCGTATAACATACAGGAGAGTCTGGGATAGTTGGTCAATTCAAGGCCAACACGAGGGAGCCAGATTCAGATTTATACGTATCTACAACTAATATATCCTTTAAAAAAATGTGTGTGTGTGTGTGGGGTGGGGGGGGGTTACAAATGCTTATCGTGCTTATAGCAACTTAGTCTGAAATGTTTTATATAACAACTCTAGGTGAAATATATAGGTGAACAGATTTGGCTTACTATTTGGCAAGAAACTGGTCAGTTTTGTCTCTGTCACCCTTAATTAATGCATAATAAACAGTTATTAATGATTTATAAAGTGTTTATAGAGGAATTAATAATGTATCTATAAACTATTCATTATCCATCTATAAGGGGAGCCTTATTGGTACCATATTTTTTTGTTTTGGGAAAAATATTTAGCATTATTAAATCTCAAGTAGCATTCATATGTAGTTTCCAAAGTTTGTCCTAGAATAAGCCACTTAAATAAAAAAAAAAGAAAAGTTTAATTTGCACAAAAAATATACAACATTTAACAAAATAAAACATAAAACTGCAATAAAAAAAGTAGTCAGTCATAATTCCATAGCTAATCTTTTGACTTTTTTGCAAATGAGCAGTGAAAACCAGTGGTCAAAGGGAAACAAAGGCAGCCTAACCACAGAGCGTGTGAAACTGAGTAATCATGACATGAAACTTCTATCAATCAAATTTACAAGTGTACGACTGAAAGTTCAGCACACTGACTGTTCGTGCAGAGTCTTCCATATGGATTCCATTTTCCCTGCTGTCAGGCAGCCTTCTCTCTTTCTAGTAGCATAAGTTTATATCTGCAAATTGTTTTACAAAAGGTGTTTGTGGCATGTTTGGTCCTAAAGGGTCAAAGAAGAAATATATTGAATATCCCTGCAGGTGCAAGAGAAAAAGTCCATTTGTGAGGATGAAAAGGTTACATTTGTCGTTGGGAATGAATGACCTGACTTGACAGACAAATGTTTTTCCTCATAGAACTGTCAGAATATGTCAGACGGCCTGCTGCGAGCATCTGAGTGGATCCCTGCAGCGCCGCTGACATCCTGCCTGTTGCTTCATCTTTGTCCTGTCTCCTCCTGCAGTCTACCTGTTTGTATCTGAAAACGTGATTTATTTATTTGTTGGTTTGTTTTTATTAAAGGTCTTTAACTTTCTACCAGCTCAGTCTGAGTCACTTCAGTTTTAATACAACAGTGTGAACGTTTATGAAGCATTCACACTATTATAATCCATTTTTCCTTCTGTACATTTTTCTGCATGTTTCTCGTTCCGCAGTTTTTGTGCCATTTCAGCAAATCATAAATCAAAATGTTTCTTTCAGGTCAATCCTGCTATGACTTTTGGTACTGGTGCAACTTTAGCTTTTTGAAATATTTAGCCTGTTCTGCCATTTTTTTCCACTCATAGAAAATGAATTGAGCTCATTTTACATCCCTTAAATCTGTTCCTTTCACATTTTGTTCTGGTTCAGCTTCTTTCAGCTTCTCTGTGCAAATATAAACTTTTTTCAGCTAATTTCAGCTGTTTTATTTCTCCAGCTTTTTTGTGATTCTTTCAGCTTCTTTCTGCCAACTACAGTATTTTTGTGCATCTTCTAACTTTTTTCTGCTAATTTCAGCTTGTTGTGCTTCTTTCAGCTTATTTGTGCATCTCACCTGCTATTTCAACTACTATTTAGCTGTTTTATGCTAATTTTAGTTTTTCCCCCCAACCATTTCCACATGTTCTGCACTCATCTCTACTTCTTTCAGCCTAATTCAGTAAAAATGTGTTCTCTCGACTTCCTTCTGGTAATTTAAGATTTGTTTGGCTTTTTTATTTAGCTACTTTAAAAAATTTTTTTTTATTTCAGCTTTTTTCAGATCATTTCCTCTTTTTTGTGCTCATTTCTGCTTCTTTCAGCCTAATGGAGCAAAACTGTGCTCTTTTTACTTACTTCTGCTATATTAAGCTTATTCTAGCTTTTCAACTAGATTTGTTTTTATTTTAGCATTTTTGCTAATCCGCTGTTTTCACATAAATTCAAGTTTTTCTTGGTAATTTCTGATACTTTCAGCCTATTTAACTTCTTTCTGACAATTTCAGCTTGTTGTGCTCTTTTCAGGTTTTTTCGGCTAGCTTCAGCTGTTTCTATTTCAGCTAGCAGTTTTGTGCTAAATTTAGCTTTTTTCTGCTAATTCCACTTTTTTTTAGCTCATTTCAACTCCTTCCACTTTCTTCTGGTTGTTTAACTTCTTCCTGCCTTTTCAGCTACTTTTTGGCTATTTATTTGCTGATTTCAGTTTTTTTAGTAAATTTCCTGATTTTTGCACTAATTTCTGCTTATTCAGCAAATATGTGTTCTTTCTGCTTTCTACTGCTAACTTAAGCTTGTACATTTCAGCATGTTTTTTTTTTTAGCTTATTTGCTGTTTTCCAGCAAATTCTTCATCAATACATATTCACACTGCCTTTTGGCAGGAAATGCAATTTCTCTCGTTAGCATTAACTGCCGCTGAAGGCTAAATTAAACAGTGCTTTTGCCTGTGTGTTTGTGTGTGTGTGTGTGTGCACATGTGTGTGTGTTTCTCTGTGTGTAACAAAATACCTCATGAATGACTTATCAGGTTTTCTTCCAAATTCCATCAATTAATCACTGGATTGACATTTACAGCTGGTTAACTTTTTGAAGGCAACCCAATCTAAAATGTTTGTGACAGCTAGTCATCCTTCGCCCTCACAAAAATGGCTAAATCTCAGTGAAATTTGAAGAAATTGAGCTGAAAGTTGGCATGATAGTAGCCAAAAGTCATCCCCAACACTGACTCCAGGCGCAAACAGAATAAACAAGATATCACGGTATCAAAGAAGACTGTGCATATTGTTATTTCAAAGTTCACTCAGAATTTCTAAAACACCCTCGTTTGTCGACTTAAAATAATTTTAGTTCAAATCTACACTTTTAAAGGTAGCGAGGATACGCATTCCTTCAAGGAATGCTAGGCCTTTCAATTTAAATTAATTTGCTTGAGGTTAATGAGAGAATTCATACTGCACGTGTGCACAAACATTTGGGAACCATCTGTAACCACAAACCCACAAGCAAGTTCAGCTCTTCGAGAGGATTAGGTGTAACAATGTTTTCAATATGAGAGGACGCTAACGCCTATGCTTCTTGTTATGAGTTTAGCTCAAGGCAAACTATTTTTTGTCATTTACACGTCGTTACAATCTTTAGAATTTTTTTATTTTTTTTTGTCTGCTATATCGAGTCGGTAACATATATCTCATATACACCTCATTTGGTATTTCAAGTATGTCAATTTGTCCCGACATGCTGTGCAATAATGAAAAGAGCAGCTTATCTGACACAGCCTGCAGCACTCCTGGCACAAGAAGACAGGAAAAATGAGTGTTTTCCTGCCATGCTGATAAGGATGCGGTTCAAAAGGTGTCAGTTCTGACAAAAAGGTGTCAGACGTTAGATTTTAAAGCATTGCAACAAATCTGTGGTGTGGCAGGCTGCATGCTGGGAACATTTTATGGATGTTTAAACTCTGCATTTTTACAGTCATGTCAACTATTAAAGCTTGCCTCTCACGGCTCCTCATAAGAAAATGTAACTCCTGAAGTGCAGGTGTGTTAAAGACCCCTGGTCGTTAGAGGTTTTAGACTTTGAGTGATTGAAATATGGCTGCTTGTGTTGGTAAAGTTACAAGCACCCTTAACACCCCCCCCCCCACTTGCACCGCTGCAGTTTTATTTGAAACCATGAAAAGTTTAACAGCCCTCATGCTAAACTGTGGTTAATTTAGCACAAATAGTCTAAAGACTCTTTAACCAGATAAAGCACAAAGTGAAAGTATCTCGGTGTATTTAGGAACGCTTGCCTGAAGGTAAAGAGGAATAATGTGTTTGCTTGTGTGTATGTGTTGTTTGTTGGGCTGCTCCATATTGGAGTTACCAAAGCAAGGGAACTGGCATAAACAATGTGAAAAATAGTTTTACACTCAATGCCCTTCTTGACGCAACCTGGGCTTGAACCCACAGTTCCAGGATCAGTGCTGTTTGTCTGCAGCGTTAGTAAAATATCTCACTCAGAAATAGTATTGCTGAGAGTCACTCCCAACACAAACTCTGAGCACGAACAGATCACACAACACGTCTTTAAAACTTTGCCATTAACTATTGGAGTCAACTGTCTCTGTTAGCAAAATATCTTGTGAACCATAAATTTTAGTGAAACTTTTGGAAAGCACTCACTGGATGTACGACTAAAACTCATTATTATGTCACGGTCACCCAATTCAAGATGACTTCCACAGCAAATCAACCTTTGCTAAATCACTTTGCCTCGCTCAGTCACCCTCAGTACATTTATTTCATTAAGAATCTAATAAGTTTGTAAAATTTGAAAAAGCATTTGAAAAATAAATGCACATTTTTCAAAGACAATATATTTTACAAACTCAATTTAAATTTTGTGCTTTTATTATCAGACTGTAAACTGAGGAAAAGGCACCTGACAGATTTCTTCATAATTTCTCATTTCTGGATAGTGAACTTTGACCAAAAGTCACATTTCTCAGCAAATAAATTTACTAAAACAATGATTGTATGTGTAAACACGAGATATCAAAATATAATTACATTTTAAAAATCGTTTATCTCCAAACATGCTTGTGACTTTCTTTATTTAAAGAATCCACAGACAATTATTTAAAATGTCTTTAGAGCTTCACAGTGCCACAAATCAAATGTTTTCTATGAGAAGTAGCATGCAGACTAATGTGATGTTGAATACATTTGATTAAAGCTAGCCAGCAAAAACTTTAGTTCAGAGTCAAATTTTCTGCCAAGTCATTTCTTAGTAACAAGTCAAATTAAAAACCTAGCTTCTTCAAGCCACCGTACAATATTAAATGTGTGGCAGAACATCATTAAAAGTCAGAATCCACAGAGAGGAAATTAAAGATTTAACCCTCGCCTCATGACCTGCTGTTGTAAATGTCTAAAACGTACAGCATGTGAGCAGCGGTGCTGTTCCGTGCAACGATAAGAAAAATAAATAACAATAAAAGTGTAAAGCTGGAATTAAAGAAGCCACGCTACAACACAAAGAGAGATACAGCCAAAGTTTGTTTGATTGATTGATTTACTATAGGAATGACAGATTTTTAGATTTTTACCATTGTCTTAATCCAGACATAATGATTTAAAAGGTTTTGGGGTTTATTTATTTTTGCAAATTCTTCAATTAAATATTTTATTTAATTACCATTCTTATTTTATTTTTTTCTTATGGAATGCAGTGTTTTCTTCCAGATCTACACCATTATTGTCATCAAAAAGCTCAGATCCAGGTGAAATACAACAGATAAAAACTGAACTCAGACAGTAACAGAGAGGTTTTTTGGCTCAACTTCTCTTATTTTAAATTATGATATCGCAAGTTGCTCTGTTGGGCCTGCCGTTACTTGATCTAATAAAGCAACTGACGCCTTGGGGTGGGTACTTTTTTTGACACAGCACAGGCAGTGACTTAATGAGAACAGGGCTCCTATTAGAAAACAACAAATGAAAAAAACAAAAAAGTTCCTCTCCGAGTTACACAAACCCTCCACAAGCCAATCAGCGCCTTAATTGCTTCACTGTAACCCCGCTGACATGTGGCGAGAGATGCTTGCACAATTCTGCACAGTTGAGAATCTGAGCCCACACACACATGTAACAGATCATCAGTTTAAAAAAAAAAAAAAAAGCAGCAGTGAATAATTTCAGGAAGCATGCGTCTTACTCAGGGGTGTTGATCCAGATGATGTCTAAGTGACAGTAGTAGACGCACTCCTTATCCGTGTACGAATAACAGGTGCAGCGCTTCTGTCTGGGCTTTGTGGTGTCAGGCAGGTGTGGACCCGCCAAACCCCTGGAGCCAAACACCTTGGAGTCTGGGAGACTTGTGGCGTGACTCATGTGGGACAGCCAAACACCTTAAATAAAAGTGTCACCAAAAAAAAATAAATTATGAAAGCAGTTGAAATCAACAGGTTAAATGTTCTAAAAGTTTTCAAAAATAACCTTTACCTTGTAATATAGTAAATGCCATTATTATAAAGAGCGCGCTTCTTTTCGGGAAAAACTGCATCTTTGTCGTCACATTAGATATTCCCAAAATTAATCGTTACAGGAGCATCCATTAATTGTAGAAAAAACAGTCCCTGATGGATCACATGATGGTCCAAAAAAATAAAAAATAAAAATGGATCAACGCTCTTCTCAAATTTAAGTTAAATATCTTACCTGTAACCTGCGCTTCAAAATCTATTTTTTTCCTCTTTGATATAAAAAGTGGATTTTAATTTTAATTTAGTTGTGATCTTTGTGGAGAGAGAGTAGTGATGAAGCTCGATGTCAGGTCGCTTTCTAAAAAGCCCAAAACAAAAGGTATTCAGGGTTTAGGGAGGTGGAGGTTCACGCCCACACCTCCCCTGACTAAAACACACACACACACTCCTGGCTGCTCAGCTCTGTCACATGCAGTTCTCTGCAGAACACATGGATCTTCCCTCAAATGGAGCCCACAATAGTTTAGTAACACTGCACAACAAAATCACTGCACTCACGCCAGAGTTCTGCAGAAAGGCACTTCATTTCTGACTCTGGAGCAAAACGGAGTAAAATAAAAGACACAAAGAGATGTGTCCAGATGACAAAACATGTCAAAGTTTTCTCATATGTTCAGCTTGCTTTGAAAGCGCTTTCTGTAAACATCTTTCTAAACTAAAGGTTCATTTTCTGTGTTTATGTGCGTGTTGTTCCCAAAAGGCTACAGTTGCGTTCAGAGGAACATGTGGTGGCAGGCACCCAGGATATTGTTTAGTCTATTATATTTTTATATTCAGTAAACCCCATATTAACTGTTCGGCAGAGAGTTTGGCAAAGAGTCAAAAGTCAGAAGTGATGTGGTGGAAGGTGTTGATGCTGTCTTTTAAAGGAACAACTCAATTTTGTTCTGATGTTCTGTGGGATGTTTTTTTGTGATAGTATTTAGCCTGCAGTAGAAATCTCAGAGAGCATTTTCAGGTTCAAAAACATCAAGAAGTTTCCAGAGTGAAACCAGTTCCAAAGAAAATCTCTGCCATCTTAAAACTCCAATCCTAAACATTTCACAACGGTTCATGTAAACACGTTTGTTCCCCTTTATGAACATTTTCATTTTTACATTGCATGGCTGCGCACATATAAGTTTACCATGTCTGAAACACTTTCTACACATCGTAGGTGAAGAAAATAGTTGTGTAACGATTGCAGCTGTACTTAGATACAAGGACTGAAGTGAACAGAGACCAAGACTGGAAATCACTTTAGTGTTTATTTACAAAGTGCAGAATTTTCTAAATCTTATTGTTCCATATTTTCTCAACAGAGCACTTCACTTCAGACTGCAGGCTTATTCGTGGTTCCTAGAGTTTCCAAAAGCAGAATGGGAGGAAGATCTTTCAGTTATCAGGCTCCTCTCTTGTTGAACCAACTTCCAGTTTCTGTTCATAAAGCTGACACATTGTCCAGTTTTGAGACTGGGCTTAAGACTTTCCTTTTTGATAAATCCTATAGTTAGGGTTGGCTTGTTCTGCTGCTATAGACTTAGACTACTAGAAGACAAATTGACCTAATTTCCTTAAATGATTTGCTAAAACTGAATAGTTTTCATTTGATACTATTTCTATCATAACGTGTGATTCTTGACCTGCCATTGTGTATCTGTTCCTACCAAACCCAGCCGGTCGAAGCAGATGGCCGCTTGTCCTGAGCCTGGTTCTGCTAAAGGTTTCTTCCTTTCCACTGTCACCTTCATGCTTGCTCAAGATGAGAGTCTGCGATGGAGTTAAACTCAGAGCAGTCTGCTCCTCAGATGAATAGTGTTAAATTATTATTTTGTATATATGAATGTTTCTGTTCAGTGCCCTGAGACAACTTCTGTTTTGACTTGGTGTCAGCATGGACCCAACGGTTCCAGGGCGAGGAAGGTGTGCATCGGAGTAAGGCTCCAGGGGATTGACAGGCAAGTGGTAGGAAGGTGTGGAGACAGCTGAGGAGGCACAGGAGGGCTTGAAGTCCACAGAGAGATATCCACGAAACAGGAAGACATCAGGGTTTAGGCTCTGGAAACAAAGAGAATAACAATCTGTTATTATTTAGTTTCATTCACAAAGAACAGAACTACCATTGGTAGGTAATGCTCCAGCGCCTGCTGAAGGCTCTCTGCAGCCTTTTATGCTCCTCCTGCTTGTCGAGCAGGAGATCTATGTCTCTGATTAGTGCTCCAGATGGCTGCAGGGAGCTGGCAGGGCAGCACTCCCACAAGTTTATATTTCAGTAAAGGTGCAACTCACTACAAAACCATAACATCTTTGTTTAAGACTCATTTTGAAGAGCAAAGAGCAAAAGTTTTCATTTGATCTTGTCTAATTTTGCTGTGATTTTATGTTTATTATTTTTTTTTATTATTATTATTATTATTTATACTGTATATTCACACTTTTATATGATTTTCTTTTGTTGTATTGTTATCTGGATTTAATTTAAAATTTTTGGTCAAGCTCTGGTGCTTTAATTGGACTGTATTAATAAAACTGACATTGACAAAATGGATATTTTATTTATATTTTTTACCTTGTTGTTGGGGGTGCAGGTAAAGAGAGTTGCAAAAAAATGTTTAGCTAATAAGATGTTACTGTCGACATTCTTACTACTTAGTGGTGCTGCAGTAGTTTATTCAGTCCCTGAGTTGCTCTATAGTCCAGTACCAGCAATGGTCCATACGAAACTTCATTTAAACCAGACTGAGTAACTGGACAAATGGATGCAGATCACACAACTGTTATTTTCTTAAGTTTGGTTGAATAAATTTGCTGATATGTTTTCTTTATTTTTAATAATTTTAGCTGCTTTTACTTTATGAATCTTACAAAATGCCCTTTTATGTTCACCCCAGCAGCAACCTGAAGGAGCGCTGCATTGCAATTCAGGGAATACGATTGTGGAATTGCGTTGATATCACCATAAAATTTTCTAAAACAATTTATATGTTTAAAAAGATGATTAAATTGAAATTGTTAGGAAAGTATGGTGCCAAGTGAAGGATGTCTTTTATTCTTGTTTTCACTTTGGAGATGTTCAAGCCTATTGTTTGTTTAAAGTTTTTTTTTTTTTTTAATAAGGGGCAGATATAACAATTTTTTTCTTCTTTCTGCACCTTTTTCATTCAGTGTTTTTTTCTTTTTGATGAATTTGTTTTGTCAATTTTGTTTTTTTTAAATGAATGAATAAATAAAATAAATAAATAAATAAACCTGAAAAGCCGGGCGATGCCTTGAATAAGAATATAGAAGGCTACATATCACACTTTGCACCTGCTAAGGTTTGAAGCTAATTGAACAAAGATCAACCTCTTCTTTTTATGGGATGGAGGTTGTTCAGGCGCAGCTCATAAACCAAGTCAGACCATCTCATGTGTTAGACAGCAGTGACGAATGAAGGAATGTTGTGAACTGATCCAACCACAGTAATGCATTTGCACCGAAGTATAGTTTGATGAATTTCAGTCGGACGCATCAGGAAATCTGGGATTCACCTGAATATAAATAAAATGCCAGTCATGTGTATTTGAGGCGCTTCTCTTTGAACCCATCCCTGCTGTAGCTAATATGTCAAAGGTGTGCTGAAGTTAAGCTTGAGGAGGCTTTTTCGAGTGAACCTGTTTCTACAGCTTTCCTGAATTGTTTGCATTAATTAGCGAAGTCAAATAGACACGCCTTATGAAATGAATGGAGGTGATGCAGGCAGCGCACGAGGCAGGAAATGACTCGTATTTGTGACTGGCACCTGATTTTCGTACTCATTGGTATGAGAACAAACTGAAACTTAATTTCCCTTCAGTTGTGTGACAGCTTTGGGTTTTTGGTGTTGCTCTCAAACGTCAGGCTGCAGTGTAAGCTGTAACAGATTATAAAGGAGGAAACCCACTAAACTATTAAGACTTTCTTTTATAAGCCAAGTCTGGCTGCACTGGGTCTCGTGTGGAAATAATTACCCCAAAATATGGAAGGAAAGTAGGACAGAAGGAAAGTAGGACAGAAGTCAACGTAAATGAAGTTCCATAACGCAGCTGCTATAGTCAATTATGGAAATACATATGCAGTACTTTGATGTGTAACTAAGACATGCACTTATGGAAGGAATCCAGCCTGTTAGAATAATAGCTACAGTCTCCTCAACAATTTACTTCCTCGCTCTCTAAGTTACATACGGGGAGCGCCCCGGATTTGTACTCACCCACTGAGGCCTCCACAGCCTGACTGCCCTCTGGTTCACTCCCAGATTTCCTAAGGCCAAGGTTTTAGTGCCATACCCAAGTCCTCTGGCACAATCCCCAAGCTGCGAAACACAGAAAAATTCCTGATAAATTAAGACCATATTGTCTTTTTTTCCTCTCTCTCCTGACCAGAAGTGTGGAGACAGAATGCTATCAGATAGTTGACAGTGTGCGGTTTAGTGGTTTCAGGATGTGTGCATGACGTGAAGGAACCGTGCAACTTTGTCCGCTGAACTGAATTATGCAGTGTCAGTTCGCTGTTGGTTATTTACCGTAAGTGTACAGTGGAAAAAAAATGTAATTATAGAGCTAAATCTTCTCGGATAACTTGTTCTGGCATCGCCAATCAGGACAGTAGAAACAGACTGAGGCTGGGAAACTGTACAGTATGTCTCCATTCGATCAAACCTCTTTCATTTGATTTTCATTTGCCTTGAGTTAGAACTTTATATTGTTTGTAATTCATGTCCTGAAAAATTTGACCTATGATTTTTACACACATTTATACGTTCACTTTAAAACATTTACATTCTGGGTTCAGTTTGTCACTAACCTGTTCTTGTGAGGTGTTGATTGTATTTTTCTTCCAGCAGAGGAAATCTCTTCATAGCAAACTCTGCCATGACCTGGGAGACATTAGGAAATATAATACATTTCAGAATTTTCCCAGCTACCACTCTGACCAGTTTTTCTGGGCTTCTTCTTATGTTTTATTATAAAACCTATTTGTGAGCAGAGCCTGGGGATTTGTATCCGCGTTACCCCCAGAGTTTTGTTTTGTTGCAAAGGCATGGAGTAAGAAAAAAAAAAAAAAGCAATAAACAGGTGACCTAACTTATTAGTTGCAGCAGATGTGTAAGCCGTTTGAAATGAATGTGATGAAGTATAATGTCACGTGGAGGGTGGCACCGGGCTGCAGTGATTAGTTCCTTCAGACTGTCTGGTTCAGCTGGATTATTAATTCTTCAGCTTACCTGACAATCAAAAAACTGAACTGAACTGATCCCTTAAAAATACGTTCTAGGCTCTTTTTGAAGTACTTTACTCCTTTTCTTCCCACATTTTGGTTAAGAGTAAAAAACTAAATAAATAAAGCCTCCTTTGAAAAAAAAATGCATGTTATTTTCCATTCCAAAGTTTTACATTAAAATAATTTTAAGGTTAAAATTGACAGTTATATAATAATAATAATAATGTCATCACAATGTCAGCACTGTATGTTTCCATACAATGGCGAAATTAGTCTCTGCATTTAACCCATCCACCACCAGGTGGTGCAGTGGGCAGCTATTGAAAGCGCCCGGGGGACATTTTTTGGGAATTAGACGTGCTGCCCAGAGACGCCACGTGATGTGCAGTGACTGGGGATCGAACCTGGGACTCTCGGGTCCCAAGCCGGCTGCCCTGCCTCTACACCATCTCGGCCCCATGAAATAGCATGGATCAAACTCTAAAAACAATATGTTCTGATGCAATACTGTGACATGACACTCTCATAGGTCATGGGAATGACTCTCAGCGACTACCACATCAAATGTTAGCTCATTGTCTAGAAAACGGATTGAATTAAAGACATTTTCGTGCAACCTAGTGTTGATAAGCTGTGCTGAGCATCTAGAATTGCACTGACTCCAAATAGACAGCTGTAGATGCAAATCTAGTGATTATTTTCTCAAAGAGTTATTAAAATTTCTACAGTTTGTGAGAATTTTTGCTAAAAGAAAAGCAGTTATTTCCAACAATAATTGTTAAAGTTTTAAGCAAAGATCATGTGCAATTAGGCACACTTCAAAGTACTTTCACATCAAATTTTAACTCCATTTCTGTCAAATTAACTGACCTATGCCTGTTTTGGGGCTTTCTAAAGTCAGCTGGCTGTGGCAACCATTTTGACTTACTTTAGCTTCAAAAGTTTAACACTTAAAGATATACTTCCAATAAAAATGTACTTACAGTTAAAATTTAATTAAAGTTAAAAATACATTCTGCCAAGTTATTCATGAGATTTTTTGCCAACAGACAGACAGAGTTGATGGTAAAATTTTAAGAAAGGATGACGCACAATATATAAGAATAGAATAGATGTTGAGGATGAGTCTTAACTATCAACAGACATTTTTTTAGGAAATAAAATTTAAACTTTTCTGAGTACGGTATTAACAATTTATGTTTTTAAAGATGATTTGCTAACAGACATGGGGACAACTAAGGCTATTTATTTTGATTTCCTCAATAAAATTTCCATCCATCAATCATCTTTACCCGTTTCCTCCTTTTCAGGTTGCAGGTGTCACTGGTGCCCATATCTAGCAATCGGTGCATGGAGACAAAATGCAAACTCCACCCAGAAAAGTCCCTGGCCAGGACTTAAACTAGAAACCTTCTCACTGAGAGGCAGCAGCTCTACCAACTGAGCCACTGTGCCACCCCCTAAAAAAAAAAAAAAACAAACAAAAAAAAACCCACTTAGCTGCAGGTTTGAAAGAGGCAAACTGAAGGTTGATCCAAAACAACAGTTTTCATTCCAAGATGCTGGTGATCAGAGTTGTTGTTTTTATTTTGCAAAAGAACAAGTGGTTAGTCAAATTTAAAACATAAACAGCTACTACTAGACGCAGCAGTTTTTAGAAAGGATGCCAAACCTTAAAACCATTCCACAGAAACTCATGCAGGGAGTCTGCCTGAACATAATAGACTGCTGAAAGGTTGACCTTTGAAATACAGCTGCTGTTTGATGGATTGCTCAGATCGAAAAACAAAGACTTGCCAGTACTTTAAGAAACAAATTGTCTCGTTTAAACAAATAACATGAACACTGGATTAGCACCATTGCTCTAAAACTGAGTGAACAAATGTGACATTGAATGAGCCAATATTTCTGGTTTATCAGTGACCAAGTTTAAAGGAAAAACACATCTGGTCTTGTAGTCATCTGTTTGTGGTTTGAAATATATCAGTGTTTCTGTTTCATCTTGTCAATCAACAAAGGCCAATTCTGGTCAATGCTTCATCCTCCTAGCTGTAAAAACGCAAAAAGAAAGAAGCTTTACAGTATTCTTGTATGATAAGTGATGGAAGATCTGTTTTTCAAGACATGCATAATGTTTAATAATTGTAATTCTAATAATAATGTATTTATGTGTTTATTTATGTATGTATGTATGTATGTATGTATGTGTGTATATATATATATATA